CTACTACTTACTGAATAACTAGCTGTCTGCTTATAAAACAGTTATGGGTAATTGTGGAGTGACAATGAACGCGGCTACGTGAGAGGGAGCGAATGCAACAAGCCAAAGGAAGGCATGCAAACCACATGATTGTATCCTCCATCTGGATAATGGCTACCTTCAAGTGGACTGGACCGCTGGAATGCAAACAAGCACCTCTGTTGTATTTGCTGATGTCTGTTTTTCTTCTAGATGTTACTGTTGTTATTCGAATGGGCATACCTTAAGCGTGTCATTATGACGGGCTACGATGAAATTCAACTCTGCATGTCTACCAAACATCACCTACAGACAAAATAGCTTTTATATTTTTATCTCAAGCCCACCATGTACCGTTTTGTTAGTATTGCAATTGTTTCTGACTTTGGTGCGTTGTTGTTCCACTCATGTGGCAAATCTTCCAAATTAAGATACCGAAAGAATTATGACGGTCCATTATGCGTTTTTGTACACATCAAATCTATCTTTGTTGAGGACAATTGTTACGCTTTAGGTATTTCTTAGCACGGTCCAGTTCTGTCAATTAAAGCCAAGTTAAATGCAAACTTGTGCAGTCCTGGATAGGCCAGGAAACCTATTATACTCGCTGCGGTGAAATCAAACTCAGCGGATAGTGGTCACGAACAGAATGACGGTGACCCTCAGAAAGTTGATACAAAACAGCATAAAGTACCTTCCAAATATACACTTCGATATTCTGTCTTGCTGTTATTTCGAAACTACAAATCAAGCAAAATGTGAGACAACAGAACACGTAGGTATTCCGTCACAATTTTATTGGAAATTGGAATTAATCACGCTTCGTGCAGCTGAACGAAAAAAATCGGCCGGCCAGAGGAAGACAAAGAGTATAATGGAAAGTGTTCCGTGGGTGAATCATTTGATAACACCCATTCACAACCATGCTAACCGGATGAATGATTTTTCAGCATCGTAATTTATAAATGTTCTGTAACAAATATCGACTTGTGTTACCACAAATGAGAGTGCGCGTGACCAACCCGACGAACTTGGCAAGCAAACCAAGACGAATGAGGCAGGAAAATATCACATTGGCGAAAAATATGCTAAATGAGAAAGAGGTTTGTTTGAATAATCCTATGGTTGAACTGCACATTCGTAACCCAGACAATGTCTCGTTAGCTACTCTGTATTCACCTATTTGATGATCAGTAAGATCAATGTCAGAAATAACTGAAAATAACTGCTGACTGTCTACTGTTCTTGGTCTTGGAATTTAAGTGTGGGACTGATAAGACCTTATGAAGAATTCAGAGAGTAAGCGATTTGTGTCAAATCTCCCTTACTCAGAAAGTCTTCTTATAAGCCAATTGATTGGGTTGTTCTCTGAACCTGGGTTTTTACATGGAAGCGCTTTGCCATCCGACCTCTGAAGTTTCGATACTTTCCCATTGTTGGAATCCTCAGTGCAACCTTTATCAAAGACTGTGAGATTCCACAGTAAAAATCTCTGTCCTAAAGTTCCAGAATAGTTTGCATTTGATCTTGTGTCGAACCGCGGGTATCATCATATCAATAAGAGCATCCAGAGAGGAGACTCCTCAATTAATTCCCGCTGGCTAATAAAGGTGTCAGTAGTATTTCAATGGATAAGAAATACCAATTGATGTTCCTTTCGAATTTGTCTGACACGCAGTTGCTTATGACATAGAAGCTGTCAGTTAGCAATGCGATAACTTTTGATGAACAGGATATATTTTCCTAAGATAGGCAGTTGTATCAAGTGCGCTAGACAATTCAAAATCACGTGAACTACCGCTCAAAAGGTTTGTTTTTTGAAGAACACAGTTTGGCGAACAAGCTCGTTTACAGTGATTCATAATCATGCTATTACACCACAATATATTACGACAAGTCAAATGGTTGAACCGATTAGATAACTGGAAAGTGATGAAACTTATTAATGAAGGGGGGTGGGGGGAGGAGAAATTGTAAACTGGGCCTAAATGAAAACCGGATTTGTGTTGTTTTTCTCATGTGTTTGCAGTTTTCATCAGGTCTATGGCCTGTTGTGAGGCGGATGGAGGGCAGCTTAAGGACACATAAATTGTTTTTGAACACAGATAGGGGGGGGGGGTTGTGGAGGATGATGCTGACGGCCTCAGCTGCGGCTGGTATGCGACAGATTGACGGTCTTCATTGCCTACCCCGAACCTTATACAGTGCATGGAAGGCCTCAGCCAATTTTGTTTTTTATCCCTCAAAAAGAAACAAAGTTCGTACACTGACCTATAAGCGCATTCCAGAAGTATTTTACCAAATGCTTGCGGATATTGGGCTTCTTCTTGTACACTTCCTTCTTGGTTCCATACGCCGACTGACCGTTGGAATTGACAGCTGTGAGGTTCATCGCATCAACAAGTCGAGAGCCATAGGCATGAGAAGGAGAAGTGAGTATATCCAGAACAGTTTACAACAGACAAAGCTGATCCCACAAATAAGAACAGCAAAAAAAGAGTGACTCGGACTGAGAAATTTAGAGCAAAATAGGATTCGATTGAGTGTAGCAAGAAGTGTATATTTATGAGACATCTTTTATGCCGTTTTGTATCACACAAAGGCAAGTAGCCCTTCATTGGTTATCACCATGCACTGTTTTTACCGAGGCTTGTTGAGCAAAATCTCACTATCCTACGGATGATTGCACAAGTTAGTAGTTGACGTATCATGGTGGTACTAAGAAAAGTTTTCCATTGTGAATTTTGTCCCCTACAAGAGTGGAGTTAGTTAGCGAAAACTGATAACTGACTGTCGTATTAGACAGTTGCTTTCAGTTAGAAGATTTGCCACGTGAATGGAACAAAAGTGCATCCGTCTGAAACTATTCCGTGAACAACAAAATGTTACATTGTAGGTTGAAAAAAATCTGAATGCTATTTTGCCACCAGACAGTGGTTCACAGAAACATCCACAGTAGAAGCCCGTGTCAGTCTGTGACACAATCGGGGTGTGCAGCCTAGAGTAGTCAGTGCAATAACGAAATACCTCGGAGTGTGCTTGCACGGTATTCCCAGTTTCAGTGGTGTGTTTGTGTGCCACTTTGTGTTTGCCAAGTAGTTGTAGGTGTGGTGCCACTTGGACTCAGTTGCCGTGTGAGCTAGGGGTGCAGATTGTCGTAGTGTACAGACTCAATGCAACAACAACATAATGGAAAAATACAGCACCCGTAACTTGTACAAACTTGTGATCTAACAAAAGTCTATTTCGTTCCCGTACAATAGCATTTTGAAATTATAATAGGCAAAGCCATGGAATGTTGGTATGATTGTCACCCCCCGTGATAGCGAGAATTATTGTCCCTGTTGCATCAGTGTTCACTGGTTCACACCCGAGATGATTTGAGTAGCTGGGAATGCAATTGGTGATTGATTATGTTGCTCAGATTGAGAATGCATCATCTCCAACCAGTCCTCAACTATCCTAGCTAGCTCAATTTAGAAGAAGATAGACTGGAGTAAGGTTGATGATGGTAGTGATGGGGATGATAACCTTTTCAAGAGAAGTATAAATACACTTGTCTATGTCAGTCGCATTGCAAAGTGTGTACACAATCGCTTAACAGCGCAGTGCTTCATGCAAAAAATGAAAGTTTTGGTATTTGGACTGCTTTGTCTTCTCCCCACTCTGCTTGCATTAAATGCAACAAAAGAAGAAATGAACCAACTAATGGTGAATTTGCACAACGAATTTAGGAGGAAGGTTTTGAATGGCCAATTGGAAGGACAACCAAAGGCCAAGACAATGCCAGATTTGGTGAGTAAGATGTTTACCATAATACCATGTCCAATTAAACACCGAGTTGATCACCTGCTTCTGGGCAGTGGTGTCATTGGGGGCTCCACGTGAATTCAAAATGGAATATATCTGTCTAGAATAAGTCTTGATGTGCCCGAGAATTAAGTTGGACTGAGGTCTGAGCCCAAGTATTCCTGGATCATAAGTGTATCTTTTTAAAATTCCTCTCTGTAAGTTGAAAGAGAGATCACTGGACAACAAGGAGAGGCACCAGGACTCACTCAGAAATACTGAATGATTACCGGTACTTTTATGTGAGTAGCCTGATTAGGCTGAATTAAAAAGGTACCTAATACTTACAATGGAACAATGTGCCAACAAACACACTGAAAAATATCAGTTATTACATTTTTATTATTAAATAGAAAAATAATTCTTTCAACCGTTATAAGATTATTCTATTGGGAACAATACTGGTAGATACCGGAAGCAGTTTAGGATAGACAACAAAAAGGACAACATTTCTATGTTGCATTGTGTCATGCCATAAAATTATGGTTATCTGTTGGGGAGCAACTGAAGATAAAATAATTTGGTTTAACGTGAATCTGGCTTTACTTGCGGTTGTGAATCCAGCTTAGCTTTAAAATAAACCTTACAACAGAAGTGGGCCATCTCCTGTGGTAGGCCATTTCACAGGGAAGCTATTCTGCAAAGAAAGAAGTATTGTTGTGAAAAGTCAGCACAGTTACTTATCATGACAACGAAGAGATTCCGTGTTCGGAAGAGTGAAAACTTGTCTAGGCTAAAAAACAGCACTCTCCTAATGCGCCGTAGTTCAAGCGAACAGAGATAAAGCATGGAAAGGCTGCGACGATAAAGTTAATTTGGCGTACTGAGTCTGGAAGAAGGCTTCGTGGACATCGCCGCTACAGTACATGATATTCACGCTACAGCTCCCTTGGGAAACCAAGCACTTCGCTTTATCCCAGCAATTGAGGTATTAAATATACTAGCTGGGGACCTCAACCTGGGCAACTTCATTCAAACTACCTGCTGGAACGTGATGATGCTCCTTGACATCCGTAGTCAGGCCATCAAGATACGCACGTTACACCATTACCAAATATATATAGAATGTCATCTTCCTAATTCTGGCATACGGAGCAATAAGGTTTCCGGAATAACCGACTACTACCACTTCTACCACAGGGAAATTAATGAAAACTCCGGTCATCACGGGGTCATGATAGCTGTCAGTAGTGGGTCTAACAACGAGCGGCTTTCATTGAAACCGATATCCGCTCAATTTGCTGTGGCTCGTTTTCGTTTCTCGTCTCTGAATATATCAGTTGTTGCAATCTACGCCCCGACGTTAACATCCGAAGAGACAGAGAAAGATAAATTCTACGACGAGTTGCAAGATGTGGACAATATGGTCGCGAATTATGATATACCCTTTATTGCAGGGAGCTGGAGCGCTCGCACTGGTCTTTTAAATTAAGCAATTAGACACATCCTAAGAAAATATGACCATGGGCAGTAACGCGACAATGGTACTCGTCTAGTCAATTTCGCGGACTACAACAGACTAACCCTCTTTAACACTCGCTTCCAACATCCCAGGAGACATCTTTTGATGTGATACTCAAACGACGGTCACACTTCACGCCAGATCGACTAAGTAGTGGTACAATATGGTTGGGCCTCCTCAATTGAAGACTGCTTGTTTTGTACCGTCCCACTAACTCCACTGAGAATTCAGTTAAGCCTTAAAATCATTTCCGTTTTATTAGTACATAATACATTTTTCATTTAAGATGTGAACTCGTCATTACCAAAATCATGAATACAAACTTACTGGCTTACTGGTAGACCTAAACGACCCGTCTGGTTGGTTTATCTGGTTGCAACCGGATTGGATGATTCGGCTCTAGCCGAATGTTAACCACTGACTGATCCACTGATCGCCTAACTGGCTCTGATCTTGTCGACCACGTGTTGCCTGCTTCATTGAACCAGACCGTCTATATGCAGCGTGCTGGGCGCATTCTCACAAACTTCCGGTCCTACAAAGTTGCAGATACATGAAATAAGAATGGCACTAACCACACACTTTCCCGTGCACTCCTCAAGGTCAGCTTAGCTAATCGCAACAAATCCTACGTCTCAAGAAGGACTAACGTAGACGCCTTAGTGTCACTGACAGCGACGAGTAGTACCAGATGCTATCACCGCCCATCCAGTCAGTCACCCAGTTGGAAGGGAAACGTCGGTAGAACAACAATGAAAGCCGCTGAGATCCTTTGTCGAGCAACCTGAGGTCGACAAAGTGGGCACAATGCGATAACAAGAGAAGGGCTGTGTTTTGTCCCGAATTCGGTAAGTGGAAGGATGGCATGGTCGTAGAGATGAAAATGCATTCAATGGCAAAGTACAGCAAGCGCAAGCACGTGAAAACGCAAACATGTAAACAAGTGTGTGAGTAAAAGCCATAAAGCGGTGAAAACGTAGGTCAATTGTGCAATCGAATTAGGTCACGCATGGTCGTTCAGCGCTTGATGCGATCTGATTGGTCATTGCCGTCGGAGACGGAGCACAAATGACGTCAACTGAGTACGTGCATGTACAACTGCAGGCGTGTGTTCATGATTGCAAGATATTTGGATGTCTGTGCTTGTGAATGCGAGAATATCTGTCTAAGCACTTAAATGTCCAATTCAAACACAAGAGACTGGATATCAGGGACGACCATCGATCCATCCAAAAGCGCTAGAGACGCCCACTTGATTGGGCTCTCTGGCTTTTGGAAGGTTCGACGATAAGCCACCGGCTCGACAATAAATGACCGAGATAACCATTTCTCTGTAATCGAAGACAATATGGAGACAGTGATTCTGTGGTGACTTCGCAAAACTCTACCGTCTCATTTGAAATGCATCCGGAAAGCGACAGCCAGTAGAAGTACTCCTTCACGACGCTACTGGTCTACTGATCCCGGAACAGCCTAAAAAGACGCACAGATGCATAGAGCACTTTAGGAATCTACTGATTCATCCCACAGAAAACTCGACAGGTCCAATTCCTACAATCTAAAGTGAGATATACAACATCAGTACCAGCCTTCCATCTCTAGTGGACATTGCTGCTGTGATACACAATCTGAAAACTGAAAGGTCCCGGGAGAAGACAGGATCGGGCCGAAGTTATATGATTCTTCTCTTCCGACACTGATAGAGCGCATCCACACGCTGTTCTGCTCAATTTAGGAAAAGAAAGGGCTTCCACGGTATGAGGAACGTCATTTCTGCTATTTTTTCTTTCTTTCTCTCTCTCTTTCTCTCTCTCTCTCTCTCTGAAAGTTGTGACAGGACGATGTGCAACAATTGCTGCAGAATCGGCCTGATCATAGTGGTTGCAACGATATTCTCCGTGCTTCTACCGGGCCGCTTCTAAACCGTGAAGTATTCATGTACCCGTCCCAATCAAGGCGGCTTCCATTGCCGTAAGGGATGCGTAGACAAGACCTTCACTCTGCGTCGAGTAGTAAAACATTGCAAAAAGTTTCAACGACTGACATCAACCTGTCTCATTGATTTTCGCATAGCACTTGATTAATTTGACAAATACGCTTTATGGACAATTTGGTAAGCAGATAGCATGTCGGCAAAATTTTCGGCTTCGTAAAACTGTACTACTGAACTACGTGTGCCAAAACACGGTATACTGGGAAAGAATCCATCGAGTTCCCCCTCAAATCCGATGTCCAACAGGGTTGCTCGTTATTCCAAGTCCTATTCAACTACACTATAGACTGGATAATGCGACAGGCGCTCTGCTCAGACGTTTTCTTAGCTGACTAAGAATATGGGTTGATATAGTTATCTTAGGGGAATTGTCCGACTATTCTACATCCAATTCTGTATCATGTAGTTCTTTTTCGTGAAAACCAGGGGACTGGAAGCTGATACATCAAACACTAAAATCTTTTCGACTTGTACTTCACAGCCCGCACATCCAATGTACGTCAACGAGCAAGGAAATTGAGCACACGCAATCATTCAGATACCTGGGCTCCACGGTCCTCCCAAACGGCCAAACCAAGGACAAAGTCGGGGTGCGAACTGACAACATTGAGAGATCATTTTCCAAGATATGTAAGTCACCTTGAATGCGAAGCAAGATCAGTCTTTGAACAAAAATCCGCGTCTTCCGAGCCGTCATCCACACCAAATTGACACCCGGTTGCGAAACGGGGCTATTACGAGTCGAGGACACCAGAAAGCTGGAAGCATTTTCCACTAGTGCCTGTGAATGATCCTCGTATTGACGACAGGATAAGAGAACGATGCTTTCACGTTGAAGAGATGTCGGCATTCCTTCAATGGTGCCGTTTACAGTGGTTCGGCAACATCGTGCGATGCCCAAATACCGATATCTCAAAACTGCCTGTCATCTTTTCAATGTCACGGTTGTCGCTGTCGTCCTGGAAGAGCAGTAGTACTGTTGTTCCCCAATGCTTTGGTATGTAGTTGTTTGGATAACACCATGAACCAAGAAGCGGCTAGGAGCGTGATGACTTCATGCGGACCAAACGCAATGATCTGAACAAAGTGCACGAACCATGCGACTGCATCCTCCAACCGAATAATAACTGAATATTGTCGACTGTTTTCGTTGATGCAAATGAGCCATTTAATTGTATTCCAATTATTTGACATGATCCCAAAGCATAAAACTGATTAAGCGAACTATAATCCTGCTCGTTTTTGTTGGATTATAACTCCACTGCAACTAATACTCGTACTGATACAATCTATTTACCGGGCACGCCTACTGAATTATAACAATAGGAGTATGCAAAGAAGAAGCCCCGTTATCTGATAATGCGTCTGTGAAACTGTTTCAGCCTAGATATTCCAACCTAGTAGTTAGACAATCCTTTCAGAGTCTTGTACTTCCAGGGTTATAAAATCGCATCTTCGACGAAAATGGAAAATTGAAGGGCATTGTCGTCC